ACATGGCGACGACCATAGCTCAAAGAGCACATGGCCATACCAGAGTCTAGCAAGGCAATGGCCGCTTGTTGCTTGTGGTTGAATCATTCCCTTTGATGGGGGCAGATCATTGAGGTGACTGGGGGTGATCTGCTCCACATCATCACAAAGGGGCAGGTAAGTACAGGTACTGATGTCAGGTGATAGACAGCGGGCAGATGGATGGGTTAGTCACATGACTGCTGCCATGGTGGTGGGCTAGATAGGAGGCAAGGGGAGGGGTTTTTCCTGCAAGAGATTTGTCAGATGTTTGCAGTTCATAATCTCCTTAGCAAAAAGGTGGTCTATTATCATTTCTATGGCTTCTGCCTAGACCAGAACCTGAAAAGTTTCCTAGAGATTATTATGCTAAACCATGAATTGAAAGGTCGCACTGCTGGGCTGTTCTGGTTTTGCATCTCATGGAGATTTGCCAATGGTGCAGGGTAGGCTGCCAGCTTGGCCTGTAGTGAAATATCTGAATGTTTCCTAAAACCTGCCTATTGGAAATTTATCTATGTCCAACCTGTGCTAGATTCAAAGCATGTCAGGGGTAAAATCTAAGCAAAAATGGCTATGCTGAGGCAAAAGACACGCTAAACTAAGTTTATTCTAGGTTTCTATAGGTACCTCCTTTCAGTAATATTTTATTTAACTTTAGCTTGAATACTTAAAAGCAGGCTTGCTCTGTAGTGCGATTTTGTATAGTCTGTGTCCTGTGTGGAACCGACATTACATTCACCTTTTTTTTTTTTTTTTAAAGTTGGAGGTCTCTGTTGGCCAGGCTAGAATGCAGTGGCTTGATCACAGCTCACCACAGCCTCTACTTCCTGGACTCAAGTGATACTTCTGCCTCAGCCTCCCGAGTAGCTGGGCCTACAGGTGTGTGCCACCATGCCTGGCTAATTTTTAAATTTTATTGTAGGCTGGGCTCGGTGGCTCAGCTGTAATCCCAGCACTTTGGGAGGCTGAGGCGAGTGTTTTGCCTGAGCTGGTGGGTTCGAGACCAGCCCGGATGACTTGGAGAGAACTTGTCTCTACATTAAACAAAAAATGAGCTGGGCATGGTAGCGCGCGCCAACAGTTCTGGTTACTTGGAAGGTTGAGGCGGAAGGATTGCTGGAGCCCAGCAGGTCCATGCTGGGATGGCCATGAGAGTGCCACTGCACTCCAGCCTGGGCAATGGAGTGAGACACCAATTTAAAAAACAATTTTTTTTTATTGTAGAGACGAGGTCTTTCCATGTTGCCTAGGCTGGTTTCGAACTCCTAGGCTTAGGCTATCCTCTCGCCTCAGCCTCCCAAAGTGCTGGGAATACAGGCGTGAGCTACCACACCCAAGTAATTTTTAAATTTTTTGTGGAGATAGGTCTCACCATGTTGCCCAAGCTGGTCTCGAACTCCTGGGCTCAAGTAATCCTCCTGCCTAGGCTTCCCAAAGTACTGGGATTATAGGCGTGAGCCACGGCACCTGGCCACATCCACTTCTTAATGTGGTCTCCCCCTCCATTTTTTTTTTTTTTTTTTTGAGTCAAAGTCTCACTCCATCACCCAGGCTAAAGTGCA